ACTAGGAAAAACAAATCCCACATGTTCTCACTTATAGGTGGGAACTAAGTGAGGGGTATATATGTTAATTAAGTCATGTAATGGATATTGAAAACTAAGAAGGGGGAGGGGAGCAGGGGTGAGGGATAAAAATCTACCTATCTGGTATATGTACACTATTCTAGTGACAAGTACACCTTTTTAAAGCCTTGACTTCAGCATTATATAATTCATCAATGTAACAAAAATCACTTGTACCCCCAAAAGTATTGAAATTTTAAAAAAAGTAGATAATGCCAAGTGCTGACAAAAAATGTGGCAAAACAATGTTAGGAAGGGAGGGTATAAATTGGTACAAGTGACTAAAATCTGTTATTATCAATGAGTGATGCATTGATTCCATAATGACCCTATAAGCCAGTGATTCCATCCTAGGTATATATCCAAGAAAAGTAAGTGCATAAGTGAACAAAAAGACATGTATTTAAATGTTCACAGCAGCATTATTCAAAATAATAAAAAATTACAAACAATTTTGATGCCAATCAAGAGCAGAATGAAAAGCTAGATTGCATATTCATTCAAAGAGAACTATGGAGCAATGAGAAGTAACAAACTACTGCTACATACATTAATATGGATGAACCTCACAAAAATTATGTTGAGCAAAGAACCCAGCCCCAATAGTACTCTCAATCTACTTCCATTTATATAAAGTCCCAAATCACATAAGACTACTATATGGTTTCAGGAGAAGTCCGGAATTCCCTCTGAAGAGGAAGCATGATTGGAAGGGCATGAAGGGAGAACCTGGGTTATGGGCAACATTTATTGTTCTGGGTGATGATTAAATGCAATGTATTTAGTTTGTGAAAATTCTTTGAACTTACGATTATGACTTGTACACATTTGCATATGCATGTTCTACTGCAATAAACAATTTTATTAAAGGAAAAAAGAAAAGATCATTAAGTGACACATTTTTGAAATAAAAGTTATAACAAGATTGTGTCTCACTAAACTACCTTATTATCAAGTGGTGTTTATTAAACTTCTGTCTCCCCCAATGAACTGTTCCAGAATGTTCTTTAAGCTTCAACTTGATTGTCTGCTCTTGCCTCTTAGTGGCTATCAGTTTGCACAACCCAAGGGCTGTGGAATGCTGGCGTGTAAATTGCCTGTGAGAAGCAACACTGGTTTGTGCCAGATGCAGTGCTGATGGTAGCCAGGGCAGGCAGGTCTGCTACTTGTGAGGTGCATGAGGCCTCCCTTCTGGAGAGGCACCGACTTGTGGGGTTCTGGGGCATAATGGTAAGTCACAGGGCATCCCCAAGAAGCTGGTGGCCCTTTCCCACTATTCAGCCAGTCTGCCCATGGTGTGCTGCTCACCATCGGGAAAAAGAAGGACATTCTATGACAAAAACTCATGGAATCAGCAAGAATACTTGGATTCTGCATTAGATTTCTAGGGCTGCTATCACAAAACACCAAAGACTGGGTGGCTTAAATAAGAGAAATCTATTTTCTCACAGTTCTGGAGGCTACAAGTCCAAGATCAAGTGTCAGCACATTTAGTTTCTCTCTCCTGGGCTTGCAGATGGCCTCCTTCTTGCTGTGTCCTTACAAGGTCGTCCTTCTGTCTATCTGTGTCCTAATCTCTTTTTCTTAAAAGGACACCAGTCATATTGGATTAGGGCCCATCCTAATGACCTAGTTTTCATTTGATTACCTCTTTAGAGGCCCTATCTCCAAATCCAGGCACTTTCTGAGGTACTAAGGGTTAGGGCTTCAGCATAGGACTTTTAGTGGATATAATTCAGCTCATAACAGATTCTTTTTCTTACAAAGCTCTGTGACTGGTTGAATGCCCTAACATTTCTGGGCCTCAGTTTCCTCCCAACTTGAAAATGAGGTCTGCGGCTCTTGCTCCCAATGCTAATGATAAATAGCTTGCTTGCTGACTTTCCTGTGAAAATCTCCTTGGGTTCTAGAATGATAAGAAATAAATAAACAATGGCAGAAGTGGGAGGAAGATTGCCATCACATTTGATGTTTTCCAAACCTTTATGCATATAGTAGAGAGGGAAAAAATGTGATCAACCTGTGGTTCTCAAGCCAAAATGAAAGAAAAAAAAAAAAAAGAAAAAGAAAATTCAGAGTTTAAAGTGGTCTGAGACTTCACAGGCCAACATGAAAAGTGGCTATAGAACTTAGAGTGGGAGAAAGGCGGGATTAAGAGGTAGCCAGGGGTAGGGAAGGAAGAAAGAGAATCTTTGGGATTTGCTCTGTACCAGAAATTGTAATGCCTCTGAATCCTCACAACAATCCCGGAGGGTATTATTACCTTTATTATTATTTCTGTTTTACTCATGAGGACACTGAGGCCTGGAATGTAGAGTTGCTGTTGTAGTTTTAGTGAATAAGTAATGTTCATTGAAGAAATAGTAATAGATATAAATAAGACAAAGAAAATTCTGGAACAAGCAAAATTAATCTATAGCAGGTGTCCTCAAACTACGGCCTGCAGGCCACATGTGGATATTTTTGCCCCTTTGTTTTTTTACTTCAAAATAAGATATGTGCAGTGTGCATAGGAATTTGTTCATAGTTTTTTTTTTTTAACTATAGTCCAGCCCTCCAATGGTCTGAAGGACAGTGAACTGGCCCCCTGTTTAAAAAGTTTGAGGATCCCTGATCTATAGTGACAAAATACAGATCAATGGTTGCTTGTGGGAAGAGGGAATGAATACAAAAAGGGCCTGAGAACAATTTTTGGAGGAGAAGGAAATGTTCTGCGTATCGATTGAGGTTGTCGCTCTACTTACATATACTTTTATCAAAACTCATCAACCTATACACTTAAAACAGGTGAATTTTGTGGCATGTAAATTATGCCTCAATAAAGTTGATCTAAGGAGAAAAAGGAAATCACCAGAAATCCTATCACCAAGAAATAACTATTACCATTTTGGTGTTTGTATGCTGCCAGGGCATGCACAACATGCACACATGTGCGTACACACATGCTGTATCACACTCTGTGTTTTGGGTTTTTCTCTCTGTCAGTAATATATCATGAAAGCCTTTCCATGTCAGTACATGCAATGTTGCATCAGCATTTTTATAGTGGTAGAATACACCATTGTGTCAACTCAACATGACTTACTTCACCAATTCTCTGTGTTAGAAAATTAAAATGTTTCCATATTTGAACTCTTATAAACACTAACCATAAATATCCTTATAACTAAATATTTGAGCATGTCCTTAATTGTTGGCATAGAATAAATTTCTTCCAGTACAATTATTGAGTCACAGTGGTTCAAATTTTTTAAGGAATTTGATATATCTTTCAAAATTGCCCTCCCTAAAAACTATGCCAGTTTATATGCCCACTAGCAATCTCTTGGTCTTGACTGCAGACCAGTCAGCATTGTGACTTTCCCTGGGAACAGACACGGGGTAAATCTCACTCGTTGACACATCCTGAAATCTCACAACTTTAGAAGTTACTGAAAACTTTCCATGTCAATGTTTTAGCCCTAATCTTAACTGAATTCAGGATTCATAAATGTTCAGAGGTCTGAGAGCACTCCTAACTGAGCACATCTGGGACTCAAACTCGGGACCGAAACCACCACGTGACTTGTTAAAGGAACATTGAGTCCAGGGACATGTAAAGCACTGGTGCCATCCCAGGCCCAGAGGTTCTCTAGTCCCTATACCTACTTAATCTCTTTGGACCAAACCTTGTTCCAGAGCATCTGGGCAGGAGAGCCAGGGATCCTGAAAGTTGCACACACTGTTGTGGTGTTAGCACAACTCTGGTTGGTTTCACCTTATTTTAATCCTTTGTTCTGTTGCATGTGGCCTCGGGATGGTTATTTAACCTCCCTAAGGCTTAATTTCTGCAACAGAAAATTGGAGTTAGTAATCGTACCTATCTCACAGAGCTTCATGAAAATGTCATGAGATAATACAATCAGATCGCTAGCACCACTCCCGGCCCTGAGGAGATGTTGATCAGTGGTAAGTATTAATATTTGTTGGCCCCCTCCTACTTGGCTTCAAGCAGCATGGGCCTGAGAGAGAGAACCACCTCCCACCCTTGAATTCTGTCCCATCTGCACTGGTGTCACTACAAAAGGCCAGCAACTGTGCTGGTTTTAGATCTGCCTACTGCCACCCATAAACTAGGGACATGAAACCCCGTTCTTAGGAGAGGCCTGCCCACCCCTCATACCTCCAGGACCAAGCCCAACAAATATAGCAGAAATTACAGGCATCTGATTTAAGGCTACGTGTGTACCCTTGGCCTGAGCCAAGCCCCAAGCCCTAGTCCTGCTGTTACATCAAAGGACCATCTCTCCTCCAGTCTCCAGGCCCAGAGTAAGCAGCAATTTGGGAGGCAGCCCCCTCTTATTTTTAGCCTTAAAAACCCCAAAAACCAACATGCCAGAGCTCACCCGAGCGTCTCTCATAAGCTGTTGTTTGATTCGGGTTGAGAAAATGACAGGCTGAGTTCTGCACCAAGAAGAGAAGAAAAAACGAGGGGAAAAAAGGAGTTTTATTTTCTCTCCACTGCCAACCTCCGTCCCCCTCAACTCCTCCCCTAGGCCTGGGTGGACCCTGCCTGGGTAATCGTTCCCTGCTATATTTAAAAACCACGGATGTGTTTTGTGGAGACTTAATTTCAGAATTGCAGGCAGCGTCTCCTGAGGACAAGGGGAAAGCCGGTGCCGCGCGCGGGTCTGCTGCCGAGAGCTCCCAACTCTGCGGAATCCAGGTCGGTCAGGACGCGCCGCCGTCTCCAGGTGCTGCCGGCCGGGAGGCGCCCGGCACTGGGCTCCAGCGATTGGGTGGGTGGCCGCGGGGTAGGGGTTCCGTCTGAACTCGGTTCTTAGGGGCTCTCTGGATGCTCCGTGCGGGCTCCACTTCCCCGCTGCGGGTCGGGAAGCTATCTGGAAGTCTCCCCTCGGCGCGCTAGAATAAATATGCGCGGCTTGCCATTTGGTGCGGCTCTCTCTCCCCGCTGATAGGGTGACGTTCAGTTTGGAGGCTTGGAGATTGGCTTTTTGATTTGGCTTCTTGCGGCAGCTTAATGGGCAAAGCTCTGGGCTCGCCCAGAAACCAGCCTCTCCGCGCGTCCCCTCTGCGCGCAGCGAAGCCGAGACGTCCCCCGCGGTGACAGCGTGCAAGGCGGTGAGCCGGCGCGCTCGCAGCCCCGGGAAAGCCCAGGCGACGCGACCGCAAGCCCAAGCCCGGGTCCCTCGGAGACGCCTGGGAGCGCCGGGCTGCTCGTCTTCCTGCCCCTCCCGGCAGGGATCCCCCGCCGCCCGCAGCCGGGACTCCGGGCCTCTCCCGGGCGTAGTCTCCAGCCCGCGCTCCCGGTCGGGGTTTTCCCTCTTAAAGCGGCTTAGAAGGACCCCTCTCTGGGTCCCCTCGCCCTGGCCCCTGCCACCCTCCCGCCCAGACCTCGCGCTCCAGATGCGCTGCCCCGCAGCTCCCTGACAGCTGCGAGCCCACGAGCCCCGGCGGGCGGGTGGCGGCGGCGGCGGCGGCGGCAGACTGACATGCCCCGGACACCGCTGCGGCCGGCGGGCAGCCCGCGGGGGCGATGAGCCTCTGCGGCCGGTGAGGAGCCCGGCGGCGGGCGCATCGCGCACCTTCCTCGCCCCCGTCACTTGCCCACTCTGCTCGGGAGGCCAAGAGGAAACGGTGAGTAATGGGGGCGAGCCTCCTGCCCTTCCCCCCACCCCCTTAGCGGGCAGCCAAGACATGGGGGGCAGTGGTTGGGGGGCTTGGAATGTCCCCAAGAGGGTCCCTGGTTGTGAATGATGGTGTTAAGTTATTTCTCCAGATCATTCATATGAGCCGCCTTCCTGTGGATTTAGTGCCAGAAGGAGTGGGGGGAGGGTGCCCCGGAAAGTGCACATTGTGTATGCGGTGTTGGGGGGGAGGTAGAACTGGCAGAGTGAGTGTCTGCGGGAGGGGCGGGGGGGGGGGCGCAGAAAGAGATGCCTGGGCATATGTGTCCAGTCGGGCCGCGGGTTTGCTGGGTCAGCGGGGGCTGCTCACTAGGGAGAGTGCTGTGCTGTGTGCTGGATGCATGTGTGCATGTGTGAGCCGCCTGTGCCAGGGCGTGTTGTGCTCCTGGGACTGTGAGTGTCCGCCGCGTTTGGGGGCCAGGAGGGGAGCGCGTTAGCCGCTTGGCGCGCGCCCGCGTGCACGCACGCACGCACGCGCACACCCCTATCTCGGGACTCCACCGCGGCGGGTCGGGGAACTGCAGCCCTAGGGCACCCGCCGAGGTGGCTGAGGGGAGGGGGGGGAAGAAGGGTTCTCGAGGTCCTGAGCTCTCCAGCCCCCGGTGGTCTGCGCGGTCTGGGGCCCGGTGGAGAGAAGCGAAGTATGTAACTAATCCTAATCCCCCCCCCCCCGCCCAATGCGCGCGCGCGCACACACACACACACACACACACACACACACACACACACACGGCCACAGCCCTCATTCAGAGGCTAGCGCTGCTTCTGCAGGCCCTGGCTGACCAGCCCCGAGGACCTGAGCCACTGGGGGAGACGATAAAAGCGATCTGGTTAGAGGAGAACCAGTTTTTCGTTTTTTATTCATTGTCTTTTATTTTTAACCATGAAGGTGGTAGTGGTGGGGGATTAAATAGAACAAACGCTTTTAATGCAGTGCCATAAATTTACCCGCTCGTCGCTGGCCTCTCTCTCTCTCTCTCCTCCTCCTCCACCCCCCTCCTGAAGATTAAAAAGCGAACCCTGGACGTTTGGTGGTTAGATCTCCTGGGCAGAAGGATTGAAATTGGGCAGATCAATGGTTGCTTGTGGGAAGAGGGAATGAATACAAAAAGGGCCTGAGAACAATTTTTGGAGGAGAAGGAAATGTTCTGCGTATCTATTGAGGTTGTCGCTCTACTTACATATACTTTTATCAAAACTCATCAACCTATACACTTAAAACAGGTGAATTTTGTGGCATGTAAATTATGCCTGGCCCCCCCCCCCCCGGCCCCCAGTTGTTTCTTCAGCACCCAGGAGCTCGGCGCCTGGCTCCCAGGTACAGCCTGCATTTCTGATAAATTGCACCCAATTTCAATCCTTCTGCCCAGGAGATCTAACCACCAAACGTCCAGGGTTCGCTTTTTAATCTTCAGGAGGGGGGTGGAGGAGGAGGAGAGAGAGAGAGAGAGGCCAGCGACGAGCGGGTAAATTTATGGCACTGCATTAAAGCGTTTGTTCTATTTAATCCCCACCACTACCACCTTCATGGTTAAAAATAAAAGACAATGAATAAAAACGAAAAACTGGTTCTCCTCTAACCAGATCGCTTTATCGTCTCCCCCAGTGGCTCAGGTCCTCGGGGCTGGTCAGCCAGGGCCTGCAGAAGCAGCGCTAGCCTCTGAATGAGGGCTGTGGCCGTGTGGTGTTGTGTGTGTGTGTGTGTGTGTGTGTGTTGTGTGTGTGTGCGCGCGCGCGCGCGCATTGGGCGGGGGGGGGGGGATTAGGATTAGTTACATACTTCGCTTCTCTCCACCGGGCCCCAGACCGCGCAGACCACCGGGGGCTGGAGAGCTCAGGGCAATTTTTTTTTTTTTT